AGAGAGAGAGACAGAGAGAGAGAGAGAGAGAGAGAGAGAGAGAGAGAGAGAGAGAGAGAGAGAGAGAGAGAGAGCAGTTTTACACATGGGACAGATGGCCAGGCATCGTGCGTGGTAAGCAAACCCAAGTGTCACCCGGTCCTCAGTGTTTCCTCTTGTGGTTAGTACATCCTTAGGACACACTGTGATTTCAGCCTGGAGCCATGTGTTCACCACTGAGAGCTATCTGTTATCTCGATATTAGTCATAAAGAGCTCTCACATGTCTTCGTTCCTTTATGCGTGGTTTGGAAATACACAGTGGGAGAGATGTTGAACTAGGTGTTTGCTCACTAAAGGCATACACTTGGGTAGGAGGAAAGGTAGTTATGAAACAGCAAAGAAAACACTAAATATATTCAGTGAGCAGCAACAAAGGGAAGGAGAGACATCTTCGCTCTGGTGGCTGATAGGGTTGTCCTTAAAGTCTCTTTGTCATCTAGGTGACAATCTTCAAACTGCCATCACTGTGGCTAAGAATTCCGAAATGATTCCTATGGGCAGCCAGGTCATCATTATCGAGGCTAATGAGCCAGGAGACCTTCTTCCTGCCTCTGTGACCTGGCAGCTGGTGGGGACCCAAGAGCCCGGCTCTGCAAAGAAGGTAAGCAGATGTTCAAAGACCCCTGGCTGGGCCTGGGTTTGTGGAGCACAGCCCTGGCATGGCATAACCATCTGAGTCCTGGAAGTTATCATAGTCACAATCCCTCAGGTGTGTGCCGTGTGTCTCGAGTGCGACACCATGCAAAGTGTTTCCAGTGATGTTTTGCAAACCCTGCCTTACATGATCACCTGGGGAGTTTGCAAACTCCCTTCCTACCGCAGGCTGCAGCAATTGAGTCAGAGTCCCTGCATAGGAAGGAAATAACTGGCGAGCCACACTGAGAGCCACATGGCAGACACCAGATCAGGGTTTCTGATTCCACACATACATCCACATGGCATGGCACCTTGCCGGAAAGCTGACCAAGGTAGAGCTTTCCAGAAAGCAAGCTTCCTGTTGGCTTGTCTGAGAAAAACTCTCCCATGTGAGAAGGACCATGGCCCGACACTCGCTTTTGTGTCACTCCAAAGCATGGTCCTTCCAGCAAGGAATTACAGAGATGCTTCTTGGTTCCAGGCTGAACAGCTTCTGACATTGTTACCTAGACAGGGGACTTGGGTGCAGCCCACAGACTGACACATAAAGAGTGGCCCTGGGTCATGGAGATGGGTTAATCTGACATAACCTCCACTCCCGGACGCTATGAAAGATGGCGGTTCTCTCTGGCACCTTCTACGGCTCTCTAGTAGTCATTTCATTGGGAACCTGCTTGCTTCATACAGCGTCTGCATCTCACTGTGCTACAGAACGCTGGGCCTTCACTAATTTAACAACCAGCCTGTCTGTGCTCACATCCATGAGATTAATACCTCATCTGAGGTCCAGCCTCAGTTACATCATAGCCTCAGCCTGTCTCCTCACCTCGGGCACTTCCCCTATCTTCCTATAAGCCAAGGGATTCCTGTCTTGTTTTAGTGGTTTGTGGTTGCCAGGCAAGAGGAGGGTGGGTTCCCCTCCTGTCGATTCTGTGCAGGAGTTCCCTCCTCCCCCTGCTAAACACAATGTTATCTCTGATATGTATGTCTCTAATGAATAAAATATTTGCACCTCCTGTATGTTTAAGTCCGGTCCTATGGAAAGGTAAAGCCTGCCGATAAATCTTGGGAGAAGCCATTGTCAGGGACTGCCGGGAGGAGCCGATTGTCATCATCAAACGCGTCGTCTTGTGCTGTCAGCCAGGATGGAGCACAGTCGAGGGGGGACCTACAAGTGGCCGGGAGGGAAGGGTCTTGGAACGTGTGATAATGGTGCATGATAACCTAGGTGTGGGAGAGGCTCTGGGCACCATGAGGGAAGGGGTCCCCTGTTTTAGTAGGGTCAAACAAAATTCAGAAGCCAGACACAGGAAAGAGCTAGGTACAAAGAACCCAACTATGCCTTCTTGCCCTGAAGAAACCGAGTCAATGAATGGAACAAGACCTTAGGAATCACAAAGGTACAGGAGGAGGAAGTCTAGAGACATTCTTGGCACCTTGCTGTGAAGGCACAATCACAGGAAAGGATGAAAGCTGTTAGAGCATCATGTATTTATATAATTCTGGGGGCGGGGCATTTTGCTTGTCTTCTTCCCGCAGGTTGAGGTTCCAGGGGCAAATGACCCCTCCCGCACTTGCTGATGCTCATTTCTTTGTGCAACACAAATTCACTTTCTTCCTCCGTGCATCACGGGGGAGCGGGCACCGCTTACCAGCCCCTGCGGAAACAATGTCTTTTGATTTTAGGAAACCTACATCGATATCGGAAACAGTTCTGCACCTGGTGGGAAAGGTTACCATTTTGCCATGAGTGGGAAGTCATACCAAGTGCTGTTTCAGCATTTCTACAGCATGCTGCCCAAAGTAAGTGCTGATGGAATGCGGTGCATTGTCAGGGTCTCCAAGTGAGTGGAACGCAGAGATTAAAGAAGTGAAAGGTCACTGAGGTGGACTTGGGTTTGGGAATGTGCATCGCTGAAAGCACCTTGGCTTTCCAGGAGGTTCCTGGACCTGTCTAAACCCACCAGACCCTGTGCAGACAGCCATGACCCTTCAGTCTTCAGTGCTGATAGCCACGCTCACCCCCGTGGCCAGCCCAAGCTCAGC